CCCGCCGCCGCGCTCAGCGCCCCCACTTCCGGCACGGCGCCCCGCCCCCGCGCCGCGATTGGCCCGCCGCTGTCACGTGGGGAGCGGCGCCGCAAGGCGCGCTGGGAGTTGTAGTCCTTTAGAGAAGTGCACTGCGCACGCGCGCCGCTGTTGGCGGACTACATCCCCCATCAGCCCCCGCGGCGAGCGCCCCCACGCCCCTTACCCACAAGAATTGCCCAATTCTGGTCTGTTTTCCCCCAAAAAACTCGCGATTTGACCAATTTCGGCCTTTTTTCCCCAAAAAAACCTCCCCCTCAGGCCCTTCAGGTCTAAAATCAGAGAGAACACAACATTTTGGTGAATTTTTCACCACCCACCACCCTCTCCCCCCTCTTTTTTTTTGGTTATTTAACCATTTTAGGAGGTTTTTTGCATTTTTTCTGAGGGAAAATGTCAATTTGGGGGCTGTAAAGATGACAAAAGCCCAGTCACCTTTTGCTAACAGGGTGAAAACACCCCTAAAAACAACCCTGGATACCGAGGGGGGTAGTTTTTACAATGATTTAAAAGCAACAAAAGGGAAAAATTTATGCTGTACAATGAAATCTTTTTAAAAATCAGGATTTTTGAGGTCATAAAAGACTCCCCATCCAACCCTGAAATAAGGAAACAGAGAAAAGCAGCTGAAGGTTGTGCAAAATATTCATTTGCTCCGATATTTTACATCAAGTACATGAAAAAAAATGTAGAAATTGGTTAAAAACAACAACAAAAAACAAACCCAAAAACCCAGTTTGGAGGAATTTGTCCCATTTTGGTAACAGGATCGATTTTTTTGAAGCTGGAAAATCCACTTTATCCCCCCAAAGTCCTAAGGCAAAAATGACCCTAGAAAAGTTGGTATAAAAAAAATAACCCCCCCACCCCCCCCTTGATGTAAATTCATAATTTATCATCAAAAAACCTGGTGTAAGAAAAGGGAGAGATGGAGGATTTTTACAAGAGGGGTGTTTTTTAAATGAAAAAGAAGGGATTTTGGGGGGGTTTTGGCTTTGTTCTTTGTACAAAGGGTTTATAATACACTGAGGCGCTTGAGGGGAGGGGGGGGGAGGAAAAAAAAGAGGCAAAACCCGCCCAAAAAAGTAAATTAAACTCGACTCCGGGTGGAAATTTGTGCGATTTGCTGCCCCCCGGTGGTGCTTGGAGGTCCCTTGAACCCAAATCCCGTGGATTTCCCCCCCAAAAAAAGCCACCAGGAGGAACCTTGAAGGCAGAAGTTGATTCCTCGTGGTGATTTCATGATTAAAAACAAATCAGAGTAATAAGTCATAAAAATGCTCACGGTGTGTGTTTCTTGGGGGGGTTTTTTTTTGGTGTGTGTGGTGTTTCCTCTCTGTTGTTTTTTTTTTTAAATAAATAGATGGGATTTGAGGCTTGATCTGGTGGTTTCCTGGGGGGTTTTTGCTCCCCCTCTCAGGGGGTCTCGAAGTTGGCCACTCGGTAGCCGGGCTGGGGGGGCAGCACCGTCCCGTTCTGTCCCTGGGGAGGGGGGGGCACGTTGTAGTTGGGCCCCATCCAGGGTGCTGAGGTCTGTGTCTGGCTGTTGGGGAGGGAAAGATTGGGTTGGTCATAGGTTGTGGTTATTGGGAGGATGTGGAGGTTCTGGGGAGTTCTAGAGGAGCCAGGGAGATGCTGGGAGGGCTGGAGCAGCTCTGGGGACAGGCTGGGAGAGTTGGGGTGTTCAGCCTGGAGAAGAGAAGGCTCCAGGGAGACCTGAGAGCAGCTTCCAGTGCC